GTGAAATCACATTTTCATTCATTTTTCTTGCGAAAATGAACCTATTTCGCATCTGGACAAAGAAATAACGTATGAATGTTTGAAAAATAATGATTTGATACGGTTATTTCATGAGAATTTTACAGTATCTTTTGTACCTATTCTCAGTGTTACATACTGAGAATTATCGAGCCAATCATGTCTTCACAGCATAATCAGCTTGCATCAAGAGTTTGTTTTGGATAACTGATTCGAGATATATTTAATTGGTTTGAATTGAACCTTATGCACACCACACTTTAGTTTGTTAAGGGATAGCGATACAGCTTCACGTAGGCAATTTTATCAATTGGAAACTCATTGGGAGCACTCATTCGAGAAAAAGAATTTTTTCTGAAAACAGCCGAAGAAGTCATAAGATCGATTAGAATGTCAAAATTAATATATACATAAGTACACTCATTAGGGTGATAACTCCACAGAATCAAAAAATTTATAGTGACTGAACTTTGATCAGTAGCGCCAAATATTGAGGTTAAGTTGATCTATTGGTGAACAGATGTTGATTCACACTAAATTTGGTGGTAGAGAGCCTAGAACGACGATTGCATCTGATTTTTCAAATATGCTTCTCGATTGTAATAAAATTATACCTCACTGCTTTCCAGTTTTCAAGCACGTTCTACAGAATACTGCGAATGTTTTAATATGTTTCATGAAATTCAAATTAAGTTATCCAGATGAACGGTATAATAAAAATAACAAACTACATATATCCACCGAATGATCAGCGAATGCGAAGTTAAGGTATCGTGAAAAACTGTTACATAAGAAAAATGAAAACCGAAGTGGATGACATGTAGATAAGGATAAGGAATGCGGCATGGTTGTGAAAGCAGATCAAATGTGATAATAGATATGTGCATACAATTAAACACACCCGCCCTGTGAAAATTAAAATTCAAATGATTGTTGGATATGTATGTGGAAATAATGCTGATTGTTCATTGAACAGCCATCGAAACGTCTGAGGAACAGAGCTATTTTATGTAGCACGTCACGTCACACCAGATAGCAAGAGGAAAACGTTAGCTTTAAGAGTAATACTAGCTAGCATCAGTACATCAATACATTATTTAATTTGCATATGTTGAACAACCCATCTGAAGAAATGAGAATAACATCGCGAGCAAACTCCGTTTATAACATATTCCCAGCCTTATTATAGCTTTTTATTTCTTTTGATCTCTCAACGAAACTCAGCAACCAACTTCTTCGCATATTTTCCTTCAATCGTCAATCACGGTGCTAGAATCTATTCCCTTACACGATGAGAATAACTACGTTTCGCTCAAATTATAATACCATCTTTTTTCGCAGATGGTTGATTACCAACAGGAAGGAGAACGACAGTTTTTGCTGATGTACTTCCTGTGTTAGGTGAGAGTGATCGTACCTAACTATTGCCAGTAATATCATTTTTCAAGTCTCTAAAATCGGCGAAATTTTAATGTCAATATGAAGTTTCAAGTTGCTCATTTATCTACGTATTTGAATTTAAAAGGCTGGGAAGAAGTTTAACATTGATTTTTTTCATTTCTGTTCTTTCATCCAAAAAGAAAAAGATAATTGCACCATATCATTTTAAAACGATTGGCGATGGCAAGAGCAAATCGAGTGCACAGATTGTCCTGTTCAGTTCAGGCTGATAGGAAATGCAAACTGATTGTGTGCATTACAGAAAGATCATGTTATGGTTGAAAGTTTCGTAAGAAAGTAATTCATTCAGTGAGATGCATATTATTAGTCTAGGAAAAGAAATTACTGCACGAAATAGTTAGTTGATGCGCTGCTGCGTCGACTTTGAGAAGAGTAAATAAAATGTGACGCATAAATGCATTCTTGCTGTGTTTGTTGTAGCACTCCATGGAGAGGTGACGAACGCACGCTTATGGCTTTGCTACTGTTTAACTTGTGAGCTTAATCCTTTCACATAATACGCAATCGCTTGTAATACAATTATGTCACATATCGCTATCAAATGAACACTTTTCAAGTGCAAAACTACAGTAACGATTTCACTGCCCCGATTATTGGCATTGCATGAATCAGTTGAATTTTAAGTATTATTTCGGCGAGAAATTATGAATTCCCCGCCGTTTTCCCGTAGAAAACAAATTTTTGCTCTAAAATTATTCGGATACCAGCTCTTGGTGACTACTAAATGAACAGTCATGCCAAGCGATTATTTTAATGTGGCTTGAATTGACCGTTATTTTCATAATTTCGAAGGTTTTATTGACCGTAAAGGAGCAAAAAATTTGCATATGGATGACGAATAAAGTTATTTCAGTTGAATTCTCTTCGGTGGACGTTCTCTCGCGATTAAGATCGAATCATTGATCTATTTGCTCTTAATGCCTCTTAATCCCTGAACAAATCCTATCAGTGCTACGGATTACAGTTGTGCGATACTCACAACTGTTCTGTGCTCAGGTGTTATTACATGCTTTGCATATTTTTTTTCATTCGGGAAAGCAATATGCTTTATTACGCATTCAACCTTTAAATACAGACACCTATTGGAGACTGATTCTGACAAACTGATCTAGCAAACATTATTAAAGCTGCATCATGCATTCCATATTTGAAAAAGCATTGAATCCAGGCCACCGGAGTACTGAGAAACAACCGATAAGGCTATAACATATCATGATACTCTTATAAAAAGTGATATGACGATCAGGTATCAGAAAAGTATGTTCTCGAATAAATTGTGAGCATCTTCGTTTGGAAGGTTTCGCCGAATCAGAGCCCCATATAAGCTCGAATTTAACCAGAAGGGTAAGACATTTTTGATATTCTGATAGAAAATGACTTGGGATATCTGAAGAATACATATTTTTAAATAATAATAATACATGTTACACAACGGAAATCTCCCAGTCGACGGATAAGCTTCTAGATGTGATTAGAATTTAAAATAGTGCAGAAATACGCCATCTCTTAGCATTTAATCAGCAATATGGCAAGAGTTCGACATTATATGCACCTGTACTTTGGGCTTTATCATATCTTGATAACGTGCTTGCGCTTTCTTGTTATCCATTACAATTCATCAGTGAATGTCCACATTTCTGAGGTGTTACATTCGGAAAAAAAAGAAACTCGCGAGATACCTGAATTGAACGGAAACTCTTACGGGTTTTCGAACTCTCTTCATCACAAATTTGTTGTCTTTTGTGACCGAGCATTCCAGGATGCTACAGTTGTACATTCTATTCATCAAGTGCATTTTTGCCTGATAATCTATTCTGGATATGGACATCAGTAAGGGCAATTTGTTGGAAACTTGACTCACACGTATTCTGTTCATTTGTCGCGCTAACATTTTCTGAACAACTCCACACACCATTTGTTTTTACTCGAGTTCATGAGGGCAGTGTTGTGTCAACTTGAAGATTGAATCTAATCACTGGCACTGAAGTTATGCTTTAAATCAACTGCCATGTTTGATGTTGCAATGAATCGTTTGAATGTTTTCGTTTGAATATTTTGTGGTAATGTAAAGTTTCAGGTTCGTAAAATCAAAACTGCATTTCGTTCGTTTATATTCGCAGTTGAATGTGTAGTGCAGTTAGAGCACAGCAAGAAATGTTCGCAGTCGTCCGCAGGCTAT